TACTAGGAATATAGGAACTGCCTTTTTAACATTGGCTGTCAATGATACTATGCAAAATCCATCAAGGGATCAAGACATTTTGCTAATAACTTCTTCAGTTTTCTTTCTGAGATTTTCAACTCAAGTTTCCATAGCACCTCCCAACTTCTCCAGAACACTGGGATCTTGCTCAGCCCGTTCATAACCAAAGCCCCAAAGTGCAAGTGAATTCATGTTCCCTGGAGCAACTTTCAACTCTAGGATGGTGAGTCAGTGGATGAAAGTCTAATTCTCCTGTTACTTGGGAGGGAAATTCTGAGCTGCATTCTACACAATTAGAGGACCTCTAGTAGGACCGAGTTCTGCTTTCTAGAATAAGAGTCAGATCAATGACATCCTTTTTGTTGGCTTTCCTTCAGAACCTCCTAACCTCCGCACTCTGCTTCCACACTCTGGCTTTCTGGGATCACCTCCCAAATGAACAACGTGAGTGTGTGTTTTGGGGGGACAACCAAACTAATTCAATATGTCTGTTGTATTGTGCATTTTGTGAATTTACCTATGAAAGCAATCAATTTCATTCCCAATTGGTTGTTAGAAAGCCCTAGCTGCTTTAGCTCAGTGGATAGAGCATTGGCCTGTGGACCAAAGGGTCCCTGGTTCAATTCTGGTCAAGGGCACATACCTCAGTTGCAGGCTCCTCTACAGCCTGGCCCTTGGTTGGAGCTTGTGCAGGAGGCAAGCAATCAATGTGTTTCTCTCACATCAATATTTCTGTCTTTCCTTCTCTCTTCCACTCTCTCTAAAAATCAATGGGAAAATATCCTTGGGTGATGATTTAAAAAATCGTACAAAAAAGACAACAGATTAGTTACTAGGGTGGCACTAAAGAAACAGATTTCTTGACCCAATACAATCTACTTTTAAGATTGCCACTTCTCTTTCACAGTTACATTCCCAATGTCTATAGCAATCTTTGGCATATCTAAGTGCTCAATAGTATTTTGAATTAGATAATGGAATTCTATTCAGCCATAAAGTAGGAAATTCTGCCATTTGCAACAACATGGATGGACTGTGAGGGCATTATGCTAAGTGAAATAAGTCAAACAGAGAAAGACAAATACTGTAAGATCTTACTTATATGTGGAATCTAAAAACATCAGACTCTGAGATCAGATTTGTGGCTGCCAGATCCAAGGGATAGGGGGTGGAGGAAATGGGTGAAGGTTGTCAAAAGGTAGAAATTTCTAGTTATAAATCAGTTCTGGGATGTTAAATACAGCATGGTGACTATAGTTAACAATACTGTATTGTATATTTGAACATTGCTAAGAGAGTAGAGCTTAAATGTTCTCACCACAAGAAAAAAATTTGGTAACTATGTGAGGTGATGGATATTATCTAAATTTGTGATAATCCCACAATATATAAATATATCAAATCATTATGTTGTACATGTTAAACTTATACAATATTATATGCAAACTAGAGGCCCGTTGCACAACAATTTGTGCACTCGGGGAAGGGGCGGGGGGTCCCTCAGGCCAGCCTGTGCCCTCTTGCAGTCTGGGACCCCTCGGGGGATGTCCAGCTTGTTTCGTTCCCGCCTCCCTCAGCCGCCCGGCCCAGGTTGTTCGTTCCCGCCTCCCTCAGCCACCCCGCCGGCTTGTTTTGCTCCCACCTCCGCCACCCAGCTTGTTTTCGGCCGCCTGGCTTGCTATGCTCCCAGCCGGTATATGCAAATTAACTGCCATCTTGGCTGGCAGTTAATTTGCATATCGCCCTGATTAGCCAATGGGAAGGGTAGCGGAGGTATGGCTAATTACCATGTTTCTCTATTATTAGATAGGATTATATCTCAATGAAAGGGAAATATTTTTTAAAAGATCGGCACTTTTCTGTTTTGGCTTCTACTATGTAAAATCCTCACATAAAATCATGTATTCTAGTATCTTCTATCTCAATGGATTGCACCATTTGACCATCCCCCCCCAATCAGAATTAGCCTCTTTCTTACTTTAAAAACATTTCTTTTTTAAAAAACAATTTTTAAAATATATTTTATTGATTTTTTACAGAGAGGAAGTGAGAAGGATAGAGAGTGAGAAACATCGATGAGAGAGAAACATCGATCAGCTGCCTCCTGCACACCCTCTACTGGGGATGTGTCTGCAACCAAGGTACATGCCCTTGACCGGAATCAAACCTGGGACCCTTCAGTCCACAGGCCGACGCTCTATCCACTGAGCCAAACTGGTTAGGGCACTTTAACAACATTTCTAAGTATGTGTGTACCAACTGTTTTTTCTTTATCTCATTAATTGCTCTTAAATCTGTCCATTCTCTCCCTCTCTTCCACCACCATTCTAATAACAACTTATTATTTCTCTAAATTGTGTACACTTTCCTTCTTCACACTCCAAACATCCCCTCCCTCTAACTCATACTCTGGCTGCACTGGACTTTCTAAGAGAAACCTGTATTCACTAGGATTTCTTCTCCCAAAAGGACTCAAGATATGTTCTCTCTGCCTCAAACATTCTCCCTTACTTCACTTGACCTTATGAATTCATACTCATCCTTTTGATATCAGCCCAAACTTTCTCAGGAAATCTCAGACCTTGCTGACTAGGTCAAGGCCCATTGTGATCAGGTTTTATGGCACCAATCACAATTGCAATTGGACATTTATTTGTATGACCACTTGATTAACGTCTGTCTTTCCCACTAGAATATAAACTCCTTGAGGGCAAAGCCTGATTTTGTTTGCTCACCACAGTATTCTCAGAACATGACCTGAGTCCTATGAACATATTGGACACGCCATACATAAGTAGCTAGTAGGGCATTCCATGGGAAATTTCAAAATGCAAATTTGTGAAGCAGCTTCATCTTCAAATGGCTCGCTTGAAAGTTTTTACTCATCCCCTCAATTGGGTATGGTCAGGGCAGAGGAATAATAGCTCAAATCTTAGACCACTGATCCCAGAGATCAGACCCCATCTATTTGCTGTATCTGTACTAGGAGGTTCTGACTTTGGCATTGTTTTCTACTTAATTATCTTTTAAGTATTCTCTTAGCCTCAAATTTAGCCTTCATGTTTTTATCTACTGCTCTTTTCTATCATCTCAGCTTGAACTTACAGATGTGAATGTCCCTAAAGAGAAGTAATAATTTATTGGGTGACTATACCTTGGAGGAAGAAGTCACAAGCTTTTCAGGGATATTTTGAATCTAGATCTGAGTTTCTTGAATTCCTGAAAGTGCAGAAAAGCACCACAGTTGGTTTTTTAGAGCAAAACCTTACTGTAGCCAATTGAAAAAAAGTATTCTAACTTAAGTTCACCACGGGGTCCCCAAACTCACCATGTCCTCATTTGCCCACTAGGAGGATGTTTAGTTGGGATAGAAATCCTCAGCATGTGGCAGGGCCTCCACAATCTTTTTGACCCATAAAGTAAGGACCATTTGGGTAGCAACACCTAGTGAGAAACTATTTGGACTCTTCCTATCAAAATATAAAGTCAGAGGTAAGATAGCCTTTTCAGAGGAAATTACAGAGATTAAGGCACTTATCAAAGATTTGTGAGATGCTGGCCAATGATTCTTCTTATCCCCATTTAATTCCTCAGTAGGGTCAGTGCAAAAACTGATGCTATTTCCAAATGCATTTTCTAATCCTACAGTGGCCTCTTTCCCAGTGCAGATGGATAGACTTCCTGATCCCTGATCTGCAGTTCCTGATTTATGGATCATGCATTACTTTGCTCCTGCTCGCTTGGACTACCAGAAACAGTTTGCTATCACTTGGCAGGAGCAACCGTTCACAAATTCTCTTCCGCTGTGCCAATATCTAGTCATCTATACTCATGGCGACCTTCCCTTCCTTCTAGGACATGAACCTGACCCAATATATTTACAACCTAAAGATGATCAGTCCTGAAGAACAGCAAGTAGCAGTGTCCTAGTTGTCTTGGAAAGGAATTAAGAATAGGAGATACAGTTTTTAAGAAATCAAATAACCTATATCCTCTGTTAAATCCCAGGAAGTGGAGTTTGGGCAGGGTTTCCAATGTCAAGGACATGATGGAGTATTCTTCCTAAGTGGAGGGCAAGTAGCTGCATGCGTTACTCACATGGAGTCTTTTCAGATTTTGGAATCAGATTTAGGTAGCATCTGGGTGTCCTCTGAGCAGTTAACAGGTAACACAGAAACCTCCCCAGAGCCGGGTAGGAAAGGTTTTCTGGCTGGCCCAGTCTGCTTACTGCAGCCCTGCTAGATGGCCTGCCGGCCACATTGACCCAATGTGCATGAAGTGGACTGACACAGTGTGAGGAAACTCTGCTAAGCCTGGAAAGTACTGTTATCACAGGGGAGCCTGGGGTTTTGCAGCTAATTCATGTCACCATCAACAGGTAACTAGTCTCTCTGAGCAAGAGGCTAAAGATATACTTTATTTAGTATTTAGGATGTTAATTTACATAATGTTATTTAAAAAATTTTAACTCACTTAGGTAGCCAGGTAAATAGTGGCTCTCAGCAGAGTGATGGTCTTTCTCTCTTGATAGTAACTACCAGCAGAGCTGAGCTCCAGCCATACCACAGGGGACCCTGGGGTTTTGGAGCTAATTCATGTCACCATCAACAGGTAACTATTCTCTTTGAGCAATAGCTCCTCTGATTATCAAGTCAGGTAATTGTGTACCCTGGGCTGCCTTCCACGAACTGGGTGCCTTCAGGTCCACAACCCATAAAACCATGCCTACCCTATAAAACACTCCAAGAAGTGATGTATAAGACAACAGGCTTTATGGGCCACAAGGATAAGAGTGTTATTTAAATGGGTTGCTCACCTAGGACACAGAGTATGGACATTTTATAGATGTACAGGAAATGCTTAATAAAATCTTGTTGAATGAAGAATGAACACATGAACCTATTCCTTAGCAACAAAAGCTTCCTACTATATAGGAGGCAATCGACTACTTTCTGAAGTAAATTTCACCAGACGTTAGGTAGGCTTCATTAATAATATTTATTTTAAAGATCACTTTTTATTGTAACAAATATAAAGTCATCGATGTTTTACAAATTGTCAAAAATGCTTTAAGTACAAAAGAAATACATTAGTAAAATGAAAGCTATATTGAATTATTTGGTATATACTTAATACTGTCAACATGCATACCATATGCCAGAAAAGCTCATGCATTAAGGAAGAGAGAAGAAATAAGCTATAACGGCTATATTGTCTGATTACAAATTCATTGCTTCGGTCAGTTTTCTTTCTTCAGGGATACCATTTACCTGCAATGTGTAAGAGTGGATATGGGCATGCGTTAGTCAGGGCATGGACACTCGTAGATTTTGAGCAAAATATATTATGGCAAGGAGTGATTTTCTATCCTCTTAACATAATTTAAAATAATTTCTCTGCATTTGGTTTAAAAAAATTTAAAGAGGAAAAATTCTAATTTAGTCCTCTCCTTCTTGGGCCAAAGCTATAATGTTCTGTGTTTGCCAAAAGGCACAAGCCTGAAAATTCCTCCCACAATGAACAAAAAGTATGCGGGTTGACTGTGGGGTGTATGACTGTACCTTTTAATCGTGGCTTTTTAGAAAATATCAGGTGGGTTGGAAAGGCTGAGAAAATGAGAAAAATGGAAAGGGCATCAATCCTAATGGCCTGGGCCTGGTTCAAATGCAAGGGTTGTTTATTGTCAGCTTCTAACTGCTCTATTATCCTCGCTAGTGCTTAAGTCTAGGATTATGCCACCACAGCTAGTTCATTTCTTCAACTTCTGATGGTCATTTAAAAGAAAAAAACTAACTAAATAAAACAAACTTCAAAATATACTCTTCCCTCACAAATTCCATATAGGCAGTTACAAATAAAATTTCTTGGGATCCAAGAGACATTCTTTGAGCTTACATTACCTTCACCAAGAAAACTGTATACTGTTATTCACCACTGTCACCCCAATACATTTAATTAAAAAAAAATACACTAGAAAAGAAAACTGACACATAACATAGTGCGATGAGGTGCTGGAGAAAAGCAATGATTACTTCCTGATACTCTTGCACAAACCTTGTTGCCTCTCTGTGGTACTATGATCACCAGGAGGAAGAAAGAGAAAAGGGGTTGTACCCATGAAAGTGCACTAACAGGACCGGACCCATGCACGTGCAGACAGAACAGAACAAACTTAGAAACTGAGTAACAAACTTTTTCATTCAAATGAACAGAATGGGAATGAAGAATATAACCTGCCCACTTAGCCCTTCTCTCCAGGAGACATGACTCTATTTGATTTCACATTTACCAGAGGCAGAAACACAACAATCTATCACAATTATCTTTTTAAAACTGCTAGGGTAGTCTCTCTCTCTCTCTCTCTCTCTCTCTTAGTATTGACACACTTTAGAGACTCACTGAAAACAAGATGAAGAAAGAAAACTACCATGAGAAAATAGTGCACTTTAGTCAATAATATGCTTGAAATTACAGAAAAATATAAGCAAACAAGAAGGCAATAGGCTATAGTATTAACTGAAAAGGGAATCAAAGCTTTCCTGATTCAAGCAAAATGTCTGCTCCCCAAAACCTGCTTTAGAAAAATAATTTTAAAAAAATAGATTCAACAACTAAAATCCCCCTAGGGAAATTCTTTGGCTCCTTGTCACATTTACTTAGGCACAAATTGTTCTTGTATTTGGAAATGCTGCCTATTACTAAAACGAAACATGCTAACAGGTCTACTTGCTAGAAATCTATATAACTATGCATCTATTTAGGTTTCCTTATTTCCCCCAGTGCGGGAATAAGTAAAATGTGAATTTTAAAAATACTCAATATTTCTATTTTTGCCAGAAATTATCTCCCTTCTATTCATTCTTTGCCTGAAATAATTAAGAATCAGAGTAAAGTCCATGAGGTGAAAGAAAAAGAAGTTTTAGCATTTCCATTGTAGAAATATTCTTTAAAATTTTTCCTCTTTAAAAAAAAGCCATGTAATTAGATGTAGTGGAAATTCATTTATTTCTTTGCTCTTTAGATAACCTATTTATAACAAAGTTTGTTCCTTCATCAATCTCCTGAATGCTTACATCGATATATTGAACAGTCTTGTTGAAACATGTTAGCATTTAATTAAAACAAGTAACCAAAATTGTAGGGGGAAATTCTGATAAATGTTATCTCATAATTAGAATCTGATGAACAAACTGCATTATACTTGCCTCAAATCTTTGAAAAGTTGTCAAACGAAAATCTCCTTAAATTCCCGAAAGCAGTAATAGAGAAGATAATTTTTGAATGAAAATATCCAATACATTTCTATATGGGCCTAAAGTTTTCAAGAGACATACTTCATAGCTCCCCTAACCACAATACCACTATTCATACTCAGAATTCCACAGCCAACTTACATTTTTAAAACTTCTCTTGGTTTTCCAAAAGAGCTAAAAAAGGCATTACTGGTTGCCTGGCAATTAGAACTAGAGATTCAACCACTAATTAGAAGACAATCCTGAATAAGTTACCTACTCAGTACAGAGATGAAAGAAATAATTGGTTGTGGACATTTTTTTTAGGGACACTTGAAAGAAATAAAGGTAAAGAAAGCAAGTCTTAGGGACATAGAACAGTCCCAGGAGAATTGCCCGCCATCTTGTTGTCATGGGTCATGTTATCACAGCTTTAAAAAGTGGCATCAGAACAGGCCAGCCATTTCTCCTTTATCCCCCTGAAGCCTCAGTCACGATGGTTTCCTTTTGTAAGAGTCAGTTCCAAGCTGCTCACTTACTGAGACAAATCCTGGATGCATCTAAGCTAAGAATCTTACACACCAAGGGGAAGAATAGGGTGCTTTGCTGGAGGAAGGGGGTTTCACTCAATCTTCCTTAATTAGACCGGACCTCCAGGGATGCTATTGCTCTAAGATTATTGACTCTGTGTTTATCACTCTGATGCCAATCTATGTAATAATCTAAGCTATTATTCTGAAGTTCTAACTCCGATTAAGGAAAAACACAATTATTTTGCCCTACTTGGTCAAGCTCAAGTTTTGTAAATTACATTACGTAGTATCATTATCTTTTAATCTATTAACTTCACCCATAAACATCAACGTATTAGCACATCCATTCATTTAGCACTCACCTGTAGTCTGCTGTTGGGGAATCTGAGTCTGGTGTGGCAAGTTCCTAGAAATGATGAACATTTTTTTTAGTAAAACTGTTTGCTTACACACATGTAAACAAAGCGCAGACATTAGAATGAAAACCTTTATAGCAAGAAAAAAGAACCCCAGAAATAATCTATTCCAGTATTCCCCCACCCCCTGGCCATGAGTTTATGGATGTGGAAACTGAGGTCTGAGGAAGACAAATAATAACAATACTAAGAATATTCATGGAGTTGCTACTGCTTGCTACATTCTACCTCAAAACAACCTTAGAAAGTAGGTATTATTTTCCCGTTTACAGATGAAAAAACAAAAACAAAAACAGGCTTAGAGGTCCAAGACTTCATAAGTAGGAAGTGGTGGGTGAAGATGTGCACACAGAGGCTCCAGGGCTTATGTTTGTAACCTATACACTTTCAGATCCCGGTCTAGAACACATTTAATTACACACTCATACTCTCACACAGCAACATATATAACCATCTTCATTCACTGTGCTAAACCTGTGCTCCTCGATCCCCACCTAGGAAGTGCTAGCTGCCATCCACCCCCTGCACCAGTCAAAACGTTAAGTCAACCCTGACCTTTCCTTCTTCTTCAGCCCTCACAGCTTGTCGCTTGGGAACTCTTGACGATTCTCCTCAATTTTTTTGAACCCATCCCCTTCTTTCCCGGCTCCATTGCCACTTGGTTGAAGCTATCACCATTGCTCACTGGATCTTTGCAACTGATGTGAATTGTTTCCTCACGCCCACTGCTGCTCCCTTATAATCCACTGTGCACATTGCTGTCTAAGACACAAATCTGCGTATGTCATTCAAATCTCATACACTTCATTGTTTTCTTACGCCTCCCTGAAAACTAAGTTTTGGGGTTTTTAGTGAGCCCTAGATGGCCACTAGTATATCTGGACCCTACATGGAGGCCTCCCTGACTGCCTGAAACAGAGCCATCAGCACCACGGCCCACTCCCATTTCTTGCACCCTTCCAGCTCATTTGTCCTTGCAAAGTCAACTCAAAATTTGTTAGAGTGAATACGTGTTACTCTTAGAATTTTAAAATATCCCACAGGAATACTAACAAAATTTTAACTAATTCTTATTTTTAATAAAAAAAAATAGCCTCTCAATATTCCCTCCTCTATGCCTCCCCACTCTCTAAGCACCACCCCAAATAGGCTACCATTTAGCCTGCTTTACATGCTGACTGCCATTGTATTTCCCTCACATGGTTAATTGCCCCCAAGTGCTTTAAGAGTAAGAACCACCCTGTTCTGTTTAGTATCCTCAGCAATAAGCATAAAATAAATACAGTCTGAATGAATACATGCAAAAGTAAAGATACAGAGATTCGCATCATACACATTTGTTTATTATCGCTCACAAATACCCATTTAGTTTCAAATTTTGATATTAAAATACGTTTACAAAAATGTACAATTTAGATTTGGGGTGGGATAAATTCTAGGAGCTAAACCTTTGCAACAGAGTCTGATCCAAGTTAGGGATTTTCAACGTGTTTTTTTGTTTGTTTCTCTTCAGCAATGGAATTCCTTTTACTGAAATCCTAAGCAGAACTCTTGATGTACAAAAGAGAGAAACGTGAGGTCGCCCCAGTTGAAACAAGGGAGCTGGGAATCCCTCCTGCTTTGTTTCCTATGCCCCACATGCTGGCCCCTCAGGCATTTCTAAGAAACCTCCAAGAAGCAAAGTTTGAAAACCACTGATCTAAAATCATTTCAGCCAGGCAAATATTATATTCCAAACATAAAAGTCTAAAGTGGAAAACAGTACATGCTGGTTAAATAGTGTTTAAACTCTTAATCAATAGGAATGTTAATGACTCTGAGTGATTTAAAAAAAATCAGTTCCATTTTAATATATTGTTAAGGAAATAACAAAATCAATTCTAATTCAATTTGAGGAAGTTACTTAATAATGCATCTCAATAATTACATTCCTTTTTGCTATTACCTATCAGCCCTACTTATCCTTGTGTGGTCTCAGGGAGGTATTTTTTTCTTTTCTTTTGGTTTGTTTATTCTTTCCATTTCAGACAATGTACTAGTATTTATAGTGGTTTGGATGATGAAAGTAAGAAGATTAATTTATAAAGCACAAGAGGAAATAAGTTCTAGATTTAAGGTTGAGAAAACAAACATCTTTACTAAAAAAGTAGAAATGCAATTTCATTGGCATTTGGCGGGGAGGGAAATATGAGTTTTGTTTTCACTTCTCAGGTAAAACTAATTTGGGCTTTTTCTACAATAGAAACTAATGCAGCAACCTCCTTCTCCCCCCGCCCCCCCCCCCCCCCCCCCCGAAAAAAAAAAAATCTTCCTCATTTCCTACGAACGGGAGCTCTACCCAAACCATTG